CCATCAACTGCCTGGTCAACTGCATCTGTGGGCCTCCCACACCTACCTCTCTCTGGGCTTCTATTTCTACCATGAGTGTGGCTTTGGAAGGGGTGGGCACTTCCTCCTTGAGTTGTGAGGAGAAGCTCAAGGGCACCTTTAAAAAAAATAACTAATTTTGTGTTGTTCCTCACCCGAGGATATTTTTTCATTGATTTTTTTTAGAGAGAGAGGAATAGAGGGAGAGAAGCAGAGAGAGAGAAACATCAATGTGAGAGACACATCGATTGATGGCCTCCTACACGGAATGAAGCCTTGTGCAGCTCAGGTACATGGCCTTGACCAGGATCAAACCTGGGGCCTTTTTTTGTTGTTTGCTTGTTTGTTTGTTTGTTAATCCTCACCCAAGGATATTTTTCCATTGATTTTCAGAATGGAAGGGAGGGGGAGAGACAGAGAGAGAAACATCGATGTGAGAGAGACATATGGATTAGTTGCCTCTGGCACACACCCCAACCAAGGCCAGGGATTGGATCGAGCCTGCAACCAAGGTACATGCTCTTGACTGGAATCAAACCCGGGACCCTTCCGTCCTCTGGCCTATGCTCTAGCCACTGAGCCAAACCAGCTAGGGTGCAAGGGTCTCTTAAAAGATGCAAAACCAGTACAGTAGCTGAGTTGTCTTCTAGGAGGTACTGAAGTCTTCTCAAGATGATGGGCAAAACTCAGGATGCCATGGAAGCCGCCATGGTTTTGGAGAAGAACCCAAACCAAGCTCTTTGGCTCTGCATGTCCTGCATTTTACCTGCACAGACCCTCATCTCTGTGACTTCCTGGAGAACCACCTCCTGGATGAGGAGGTGAAACTCACCAAGCAGATGGGTGACCCCCTCACTAACTCCCCAGGCAGGCTGGCCCCCAGGCTGGGCTGGGGAAGTATCTCTTCAGAAGGCTCACCCTCAAGCACCACTAGGAGCTTCTGAAGCTGAAGCTTTGAGGGGCCCCTCTGCATTCATCCCCCTGCTGTCTTTTGCCTGAGCCACTCCCTGAAACCACCAAGCATCCTTTTAACCACCCTGGAGCCCACTCCCATGCATCGGACCAAACGGAAACAAAAAAGCTTTTTGCAGCTTAAAAAGAAAGAAAAGGAGACATTTTGGGTCCCTTACTAAAGCATTTTCAACTTTTGTTTCATTCCTCAAACCACGTGCTGTGGGCCCCGAGCCCCACTCGCCCTGATACCCAGCCAGCTTATCAGCACAGGGAAGGAGTTACATTCTCAAATAACCAGGCAAGAGGCTTGCTATGGAGCAGGAAGAGAAAATGGAAAAAATGAGTTTATTTTCAGACATGCTGCTTTCTCCCCCAAACCTGGGCTTCTCCCCTGGCCCTCCCCTCTCCTCCAGCCAGGGCGCTGACCCACGCATTCCGCATCTGCCCGTGGGGAAGGCGGCGAGGAGCACAGCCCGGTGTCCGGGGAGGGATGTCTACCCACGCGTCCGCGGGAGGGCCGGGCTGTCAATAGGGCGGCAACAGGAAGAAGTGCGGTGGCGGCAGCGGAGGCGGCAGGGGCGGGGGGAAGGGGGCCAGCGGCCAGGACTCGCGGGGCGCCGGCGGGGCCAGCAGGGTGAAGGGTGAGGGTCGCGCGGGCAGCGGCGGCAGCGGCTGCGGGGGCGCCTCGGTGATGAGCGGGGGGCGGCCGGCGCGCGCCCACCGGCCCGGGGGTGGCAGCGATCGCGGTCTCCGGGAGAGCGGCAGCGGCAGGTGCGCGGGTCGCGGTCGCCGGCGCGGGAAGGCGCGGTAGGTGCTGCAGGGCAAGAGCGGATGCGGGCGGCGGGGGAACGCAAGCCTCGGGCGGCAGCTCGGGCAGCGCCAGGTGGGCGCCGGGGCCCCAGGGCGCCAGCGGCTCCGGCCGCAGCGGGAGCGAGGGCAGCGGAGGCAGCTCAGCCAGGGCGAGCGCCGAAGGCGGCGGCGGCCCGGGCCGGAGGTCGGGAGGGAGGCCAGGGAGCGGCGGGTGCGGCAGGGTCGGCGCGGGCGGCGGGGTCAGCGATAGCGACGCGCGGGCCCGGCCCGGCCGTGAGCGGGCGCGGGCGAGCCGCGGGTGCGAGCGGGAGCGAGAGAACCGCGTCGCCAGCTTGAGTGTCGTCGCTGTCGCCGTCGCCCCCTGCGCCAGGGCCCCGCTCGCGCCTCCCGTCCGAGCTTCTTCCCTCCGGCTGGGGGCCGCGGAGTGTGCGGCGGGCCGCCCGGCCAATCGGAGCCGAGCACCGACGCGTTCCAGCCAATCAAGAGACAGTGTGCCGACGGTCTACGCATCTTCTCCCCGGCGGGCACTAGCGATCCCTGGCAGCCAATCAGAGGCGGCAGCGCTCTGTCTCCGGTCCAGCCTATCACCGTGTCCCCCGGCGCCGCACGCTCCACGGCCTGCTTGCCCCGACGGCAGGCGCTGCACGCGCACGACGGGCGCCCCCACCTGGCCCGAGGGACCCTGAGCCGCTGCAAGTCCCTGGACCTACACCGCCCGCCCGCCCGCCCACCTGCGGCGGCCGCTGCGGAGAGTGTGTGGCTCTCCTCTTTGGTCATGTTCTTAGTAATTCCGGACCGAGGTGCCTGCATGTGGGCAAGATCTACGCAGATTTGCACGTAGTTACCTTTTTTTAAAAAATATATTTTATTGATTTTTTACAGAGAGGAAGGGAGAGGGATAGAGAGTTAGAAACATCGATCAGCTGCCTCTTGCACACCTCCTACTAGGGATGTGCCCGCAACCAAGGTACATGCCCTTGACTGGAATCGAACCTGGGACCCTTCAGCCCGCAGGCCGATGCTCTATCCACTGAGCCAAACCGGTTAGGGCTCCACATAGTTATCTTATAGAAAAGATAAAAGCATATTAATTCTGCCCTGGCCAGTATGGCTCAGTTGGAGTGCTTAGGAAGATGTTACTGATTAGATTCCGTTAGAGCATCGGGCCCTTCGCCGGTTGGATTCCTGGTTAGGGCACACACTCAGGTTGTGGGTTCGATCCCTAGTCAGATGCATACAGGAGGCAACCGAATTTCTCTCTCTCTCTTTCCTCCTTTCCTCTCTCGAATCAATGAAAAACATATCCGCTGGTGAGGACTTTTTAGTCCTGACTGGTTTGGCTCAGTGGACAGAGCGTCGGCTTGCGGACTGAAGGGTCCCAGGTTCAATTCCGGTCAAGGGCATGTACCTTGGTTGCAGGCACATCCCCAGTAGGAGGTGTGCAGGAGGCAGCTGATCAATGTTTCTCTCTCATCGATGTTTCTAACTCTATCCCTCTCCCTTCCTCTCTGTAAAAAATTCAATAAAATATATATTTAAAATTAAAACTATATTAATTCAATAGCAAAGCTTGACTGACATGTAGCATTTGTTAATAGTCCTAAGAATAGTAAATGACATGGGTGAAAATCATTAAATAAAAAGAATGGTCGATTTATTTAAAGTCGGAATATAGAAACCTTTATAATATTAGAACATTTCTAGGTGGGTACTGCCCTCAGAGACAGCCTGCTCAGTGTCCCCTGTGCCCAGATGTTGGCTCCTAATGCTGTTCTCCAGTAAAGAGATGATGTGGTTTATTCCATACCTCAGGGAAGAGAAATACATGAGGAGACATTTTGGATAGTTTAAAGAATCAGTGGTTCTGTGAAAAAGCAAAAGTCTATATGATTCTCAAATACAGCAAAATCAAATGAGGGAAATTAGGCTGGAATTCCAATGATGTTTACAGAATCTCCCAAAGGTTGATCCCCAAAACATTGTGCATACTGCAGTAACATTTTGATCTCCACCCAAGTTATCGTAAACCAGGCCATAAAGATGAACTGAGTTTCTCAGAGTGCCACGTCCCATCAACTCTATTCAACTTGAATTCTTTTTTTCTCTTTTAAAAAATGTTATTAATTTCTAGAGAGAGAGGAAGGGACAGAGAGAGAAACATCAATATGAGAGCAGAATGTGGATTGGCTGCCACTGGGGATTGAGCCCTCAATCTAGTCATGACCTGTGACCTCCTGGTTCTTAGGTCGATGCTCACACACTGAGCCATGCTGGCCGGGCCAACTTGAATTCTTCAGCTAAAACTTCACCAGGTTGCAAGAAGAGGTGTGGGTTTGGAAAGACTCAGAACACAGAGGCTCATAGAGACGGGTCCTGTAACTGGGTCAAAGTTCAGAATAGGGGGTCAATTCCCAACCTCCATTCCAGACTCAGCCTAGGAGAGTAATTTGTACTGCATTTCTGGGTGAGTCAATTTGTAATCATGAGATGAGAAAATGAAGTGATCCAGTAGTACTGATACTGAGAGTGGATTAGTAACTGGCTTTTTAATCCAGTTACTAATGTTTTTTGAAAACATTCAGTAATCTGAGATAACAAATATCTCAATTATTCATTTCCAGGAGTGCTTAGGAAGATGTTACTGATTAGATTCACCCCCCGCCCCCTCTCCATTAAGAGATCAAGTAGATTATGTGTATATAATAGTTTGAAATACCTAAGGGAATTGAATTAATCAGACTTGTAAGACAAGTAAAATATTTAGGGGGGGGGCATCAATCTGTCAAATTTATAATCTAATGGAACATTAATCAAAGAATGTGAAAGTGAATTTTACATCCAAATTATAAGATTAATCAGTAAAATGATGTCCAGAAGCAAGTGTAAGGGCTTAAGGAAAATGAGATTTTAGTTTAATAACTCTAATAAATTGTTATAAATTAAGACACAAATAATACACAAGCTCCCTAACTTGGATGTGGCTCCCCCAATAGATTGTTGCCAAGCGATGCCCCCTCTCCAAAGGCAGGCCCGAATCTGTTCTGTTCTCATGGTCTCTCCCATCAGAGCAAAGCCCGTAGCACACAGCCACACAGTTTGTTAAATGAATGAATGAATGAATGAATGAATGAATGAGGTGCAGAGTGGAGACTGTAGGCCCAGGGGGCTCTAACCCCAGGCAGCCCATCCCACCCCTCACCCCGCCATGGCACACAAAGGCAAACAGAGAAGCACATCGCCTTTATTAATACTTCCAGCTCGTAGGAGACCCCAGGCCAGAGACCAAGCCCAAGGGTCTGGCCGTCCTTGCCAAGCAGACCAGCCTCTCAGGATGACCGTGGATCAGCTCAGGGGCTCAGCATTTCCCAAAAGGGCAGTGGCCTGGGAAGAGGTAGAGCAGAGCTCCGGTGAGGTGCCCCCTCCTCGCCTCCTGGGGAAAACGAGCCCTCTCCCTCCTCTGGTCTCTGAGACTCCAGGTGGTCTGAGAGCCGGCCCTCCCTCCCAAGGGCTGGGGGCATCCCCAAGTGCGGCTGGAAAGGGTGACAATGGTGCCACTGGCTCCCCCTCACCTCCATAGCCATTTTCCAGCGGCCCACTGCTGCCTCGCTTCACCTCAGGGCCTCCTAACGCACAAACAAGCCAGGGGACCCGGGTCACAGAACTTTCCAGTGCTCCCCCCAGCTTCATCCCAGGCCTTGGGAGAACCCCACTCACCAAAGGGTCTGGGGCCCAGCTCTGGCCTCAGCTGCTCATAGGGCCCTGGAGATAGGGACGGGAGGTAGGAGCACTGCGTCCCTGATGGCCCTTGATCTGGTCTGTCACCTCCTCATCTTAGTCCAGGTTCCAGGCTCATGCTCAGGGCCCCCTGCTCTCCCTATCCCTCCTCCAGTCCCATTCATTCCTGTCCCCCTCATACTTCCTCCACCATCAATGTCCCCTCCATCTCCGTAGGGCTATGGGGTGGGCCTGGGCCCAGGACCCAGCTCCCTAAAGCCACCCCTTGTCCCCCCCTCAATGTTCTTCCACACACTCCATTACCTGGCTGGCTTTCGACCCCTGGATATGCACCTCCGGCCCCATATCCAGGCTTCCAGGCAGCCCCCCAAGGCTGGAGGGAGGGCCAAGGAGAGCCCCTCAAAGCCTCAGTCTGACCTGCAGGAGGAGAGCTTCTGTGGGAACCACTGCCCACTGGATGCCCCAGTCCTCCCTGGGCCTCAGAGCCCCCCAACCCCCAATAGCCCTTGCCAGGGTTCACGCTGCTCCCTGAACTCTCATTTCTTACCATTTCCTTCAGAGGCTGGAGCTGCGGCTTTGGGGTACACCAGCGCTTCCTCGCCATACCCTGCGAGAGATCCATGTGCTTCACTCCTGACCAGACCTTGGTGTCCCTTCCCCTCACCCCCTGCACTCTGTCCCCGGGACCCAACTCACCGTTTCTAAAGCCATTGGCCCCAGGGAACCCTGAGGAGGAAAGAGGTCAGAGGCATGAACAGCCCCTGAGCCAGGAGCCCCTCCAACCTCCCCAACCCCACCTTTAGGCACCTGGCTGCAGGAGGGCCTCGGTGAAGATCCCAGCTCCCAGACCACCATTCCCGTAACTAAAACCTGCAGGAGACAGATTGGAGAGGGGCTGGGATGGGGGCTGAGGGTGGACAGCAGTGGGGAAGCCAGGGTGACCAGCTCATGGAGGGACAGACTGACTCACACAGAGGTCCCCTAGAGAGGGCCTCTCACATCCCCCCACCCTCAGCGCGCTAACCCTGCTCAACCTCCTCGAAGCCTTCCCTGGCTTCTCTCTGGGCAGCTTCCCTTCCTCCTGGCCTCAGTCTGTCACTCTACCCTCACCTGAAATAAGATGGCACCTGGTCTGGCCACCACTGTAGCCCAGTGCATAGTAAATATGGGCTGGGTGAATAAGGAAAGAGACAGACATGACAAAGGTAGCAACAAGGAGGGCTCATCATGAAGGAGGTGCCAGGTTGTGCCCAAGATGAGGGCCTGGGCGGGTGGAGGCGGGGGGCGGGCGGGGGGCGCTCACCAACTTTCTGAGGTTTGAGGCCATCACCAAAGCCTAGAGTAGAGGAAACGGAGGTCAGAGATGGCCACAAGGGTGGGGATGGGGTGGGAGGAAGAAGAACTCAGACGAGGGCCGCCTCACCCAGTTCTGCTCCTGGTCCGTAGCCGTTTGAAGGGTGGTACCCTGTGAAGAGAACTGAGCTCAGTGCGGAGGACCACACTTTCCCAAGGATGGACCTTAGGAACTCGAGGAGGAAGAAGGGATTCTTTCTACCCACAGGGAAAGGAATCAGAATAACTGAGTTTATTTATTTTTATTTTTTATTATATTTTATTGATTTTTTACAGAGAGGAAGGGAGAGAGATAGAGAGTTAGAAACATCGATGAGAGAGAAACATCGATCAGCTGCCTCCTGCACATCTCCTACTGGGGTTGTGCCCGCAACCAAGGTACATGCCCTTGACCGGAATCGAACCTGGGACCTTTCAGTCCGCAGGCCGATGCTCTATCCACTGAGCCAAACCGGTTTCGGCAGAATAACTGAGTTTAGAAAGCAGCAAGAGAGAAGGAGGGTCGACTTGGGAGGGGCCTTCCTGGCCTGAACAGCTGAGGCAGCCTGGGCATAAGGGTGATGGGGAGTGACCCTGACCTGGATGGGCACAGAGGCAAGCAGACTCCCACCTGCTTTCTGAGGCTTCAGTCCCCACTGGATGGCTGGTGTCGGTGCTAGGAAGAAAACCAGGGCACAGGAGTGAGCCCAGGGCCAGGCAGTTTGGGACTGCCACAGCCTGCCATGCGGGGGACAGGTGCTTGGGGGAGCTGCCATATTGGGGGTCATGTGGGTCTCCGAGCCAGAGTTCAGGCTTTTCCTCAGTTGGCTCACAGCAAGCCTCACTCTCAGGTGAAGAATGGGCGTAGGGGCTTCTGAGCAGCCCAGCCAGGCCCAGCCCCTTCTGGGACCAGGTACACCACCCCACCCCCCATTGCCACCCACTCCACACTGACCTGGGAACTTGCCGTTCTGCGCTGGGGCGGGGGGCTGGGCTTTGGAGCCCCAGCCACCTGCTTTGTCAGAAGGGCCTCCTGGAGTGGGAAGCCCATGGCAGGGACCTAGATGGGAGGAGGGAGGGGGCCGTGAGCCCAGACGGGCCTGGGTCCGGCCAGTCCACCAGCCTGCAGTAGCTTCTAGGGCAGACACAGCTTCCAAGGGGGGACCATTGGCCAGGACAGGAAAAGCCCAGTTCCTCTGGGCCACAACCTGCTCTGGGGACCAAGGGACCCAGCCACCTGACATGGTTTCTGCTAATTGCCCACCCAGCCCCAAGGCCTGCTAGCCTACCCCCCTCGCCCCTGGGGCCTCACCTGCCTGGGCCCCCAGCCCGTTTCTGCTGCCATATCCTGGAGAGGAAAAGCAGGGAAGTTAGGGGTGCTGGGGGGCGGGGGTCCTGGAAGGAGCGATAGGAGAAGGTACAGGACTGAGATAGGGGCTCTTGCACTTGCCTGGCTTCTGAGGTTTCACACCCCCTTCCAGACCTGCAGGAGAGGCAGAGAGACAGCTTCCGAGGGGCAGCCCTCCCCAGAGGGAGCCCTCTCTACCTGACATTGAGACCCTCATGTACTCACCAGGCGGGAGCCCGTTTCCTGGTGTGTATCCTGGGAGGGAGAGCAGGAATGAGGGCTGGGGCTGGGGTGGGGGGAGACTTCAGGTGGAGGTGGGAGAGGGGCAGGGGTGGGCTCACCTGGCTTTGGAGGGCTCATGCCCCCTGCTAGGCCTGGGGAGAGACAGATGGAGGCTGAGTGACAGATGGACTCCATTCTGCCCCTTCTCTTTCCCAGGACCGAACTCTGCCCCACGGGACCCTGTGACCCCTCTTCCCCTCCACCTTCCAGAGCTCCATGCCTGCCCTGCCTCCCTCATCTGGCTGGGCCCCTTCCCCGGGAAGGCTCCATCCAGCTCCCAGCCCATTCTTGCAAACTGGGGAGACAGGTGGGGGGCTTTGAGGGGTCACAGATGAAGGGAATAGATAGTTTCTGGAGGTAGAGAGTAGTGGGGTCCAATTCTGACACTAGTTTCAATTCTGGGTTTTTTTCCAACATCACCGAGCAATTTTCGGGTACCAGCTGGGTGTCCTACAATTCTGACCCTACCTACCTGGAGGTAGCATCAGATCCCACCGGTTAAGGGCTCAGTCCCACAATACTGTTCCCTCCTCCCACTTCTGCCCATTGCCAACCCAGGTTGTCATCTGTGCTTCTGACCAACCAGCTCTATAAACCAGAAGTTCCGATGACCCCCTCTTTGGGTTCAATTAATCTTCTAGAGCAGTGGTTCTCAACCTTCCTAACGCCGTGACCCTTTAATACAGTTCCTCATGTTGTGGTGACCCCCAATTTCATTGTTACAAATTGAACATAATTAAAGCACAGTGATTAATCACAAAAACAATATGTAATTATATATGTGTTTTCCGATGGTCTTAGGCGACCCCTGTGAAAGGGTCGTTCCACCCCGAACGGGGTCGCGACCCACAGGTTGAGAACCGCTGTTCTAGAGTGGCTCCCAGAATTTAGGTATATTATGAAAGGATACAGCTCAGAAACAGCCAGATGAACAAAACGTACAGGATAAGGTTTGTATGTGAGAAGGCATTCGGAGCTTCCATGCTCCAGCCCATCACCCTTCTCCCCACCCCCCACCCCCTTCACCAACCCGAAAGCACGCTCTCCCAGCCCTGTCCCTGGGGGTTTTTACAGAGGCTTCCTTACAAGCAAAGGGGTGGGATTAAAAGTTGCAACCCTCCAATCACAAGGTGGCAACCGGCCCCAGGGGCTTTCCAAAAGTCACCTCATTAACACAACAAAAGAACTTAGGAAATTCCAAGGCTTTTAAGAGCCAGCTCTGTGCCAGGAATGGGAGAAGACCAAGTATATATTTCTTTTTTTTTAAAAATATATTTTATTGATTTTTTACAGAGAGGAAGGGAGAGGGATAGAGAGCTAGAGACATCGATGAGAGAGAAACATCGATCAGCTGCCTCCTGCACACCCCCTACTGGGGATGTGCCCGCAACCAAGGTACATGCCCTCGACCGGGATTCGAACCCGGGACCCTTCAGTCCGCAGGCCGACGCTCTATCCACTGAGCCAAACTGGTCAGGGCCCAAGTATATATTTCTTATCATAAATCACAGTATCACAGTGTGGATAGAAAGGAAGGGTTTACCTGGCTTCTGAGGCTTCATGCCCTCACCAATGCCTGGAGGAGAGAGGGGAGCAGATGAGGTACCCCTTACCCACCCACCGGGCCTCTCCTCTAGAACTCAGCGTCAGGCTCCCCGGGGCCACTCCACTACCTGGTCCCTGGCTGATGGAGCCACAGGCCTGTGTGGACAGGAGGGGGAGAGGCAGGAGGCGGGCAGCTGGGCTGCCTTCCCTCCCAGCTTAGGAACCAGAAGCCCTGGGATCTCTCCTGCCTCCTGCCACCCCCGTTCAATTCTCCAAGTCTGGTGGGGCCCACGAGAGGACCATGAGACAGGATCTGGGTGAAGACACCAGCTCCCTCCGAGGGCCGCCTCCTCTCCTCCTTCCGGCCTCTCTCAGTCCCTCAGGACCCACCTGTTTTGGAGCCATCCTGAGCAGGGGCCAGTGGGGCGGGAAGGATGAACAGGAGACTTGGGCCCTGGCTAAGGTGGGGTAAAGGCTGGCAGGCAGCCAAGCCAGAACCAGGGATCATGGAGGTTGTCCCGGGCCTCTTATAACCATTTACCAATCCGGCCCCTCAAAGGCCTGGAGGGAGGTGGGAGAGGACACGCAGATGCCCACCTCAGACCCCACCAGTCCCACCAGGCCGGGCTCCCAGCCCATTCCCGAATCCCGTGTGTGTGTGTGTGTGTGTGTGTGTGTGTGTGTGTGTGTGTGTGTGTGTCAATATCTCAGTGGGGTGTGAATAGGTGCCTGGAGCTCAGGGTTTGGGGGAGGTGGAGAGAAAAGGCTGGGGTGAGGCTCACCTGGCTTCTGGGGTTTCATACCCGCTCCAAAGCCTGGTGGAGAGACATGGAGCAGGTGAGGAACCCTGGCCTCATCCCTGCACCTCCCCAGAGACCCGGCCCACCCCTACCTGGTCCATAGCCATTCTGAGCTGCAGGGCCTGTGGGGAGAAGGTGGGGGAACCATAAAGCTGGCTGTGGGCTGAGGGGCTGAGGCCAGCCCTGGGGGTGCCCTGGTCTTCCCTCCCACTTCTCTCCCATGGTCCTTGGCGCCCTGACACCCTTCACTCCTGAAGCAGGAGTGTCCCTCTTGTTAGAGGCATGCAGACCCCGCTCCATGCATTAGTGCTGAGGAAGGTGGTGACAGAGAGAGGCCTGAGAGAAATGAGGAGGACAGGATGGCTGTCCTCTCACCTGCTGGGCTTTCCCACCCCTTCCCAGGTCTGGGAGGCAGAGAGGCTGACAGCCTCTGCCAGGCCTCCACCCCTTGCTCCTGTCCTCCCCTCCCCACCCCCCTCAGGACCAAGCCCAGCTGCCCTCACCTGCTGGGGCTCCCAGTCCATTTCCACTACCATATCCTGGGGAGGGAAAACAGGGGTGGCGTGAGGGGCAGTATGCAGAGGGGTTCAGTAGAAGCAGGACAGAGTCAGGCAGCCTCAGAGAAGAGGCGGGGTGTGGGGGGTCTTTCCCTCACCTGGTTTCTGCAGGTTCACTCCCTTTCCCAGGCCACAGGCCAACCCTCCATCTCCCCACTACAGGGTACCTAGTTCTCTGCCTCCCCTCCAGGCCCCTACTCCAGTCCCTAACCGTGGGAAGCTGCCTATTGTCTTCACTAGCAGAGAGGTGTGGACAGGAGCCCAGAAGGCTAGGGACCCTTGAAGCCCTGGCAATGGTCAGAGCTATGCACCCACTGTTAGTCCAGACAATGGTAGCTGAAGCAACTTCCCCATTTACTATTATATAAATCGTTGCTGATGGGCTAGTCTGCCTGTTACTGGAACTTGCCTGCCTAAGGGCTATGCTATGGGTGGATCCCAAACCAATAAAAGGTTGGTGCGGCCTGAGCACCAGGGGAAGTCCTTCCCTTGAGTTGGACTTGCCCGCCTGGCCCCCCAGTATTTCCAAATTATCTCTTGTCTCTTCTCTTTCATTTGTGTGCGGCTCCTCTTCCAGATCCTGAACCCTGAACCACGCGGGACGTGGGGGGAAACTTTAAACACCTAACCCACCCCTCTCCCTCTAAGAAGCCTGGGCTCCTGCCCCACAGAAGGCCCCGCTGGCTGCAGATCCTGGAGAGAGACAGGGTGTGAGTGGGGTGCTCTGGCTTCAGAGGGCACATGCACAGAGACACGACGACTGCAGGACTCACCTGGCTTCTGGGGCTTCATGCCCCCCCCAAAGCCTGAAAAGGATTTGGGAGCAGATGAGGGACTCGGGAGCCCCTCTCAGCCTCCCCAGGTTCCTACCCGCTCTGCTTCTACCTGCTCCAAATCCGTTCTGGGTTGCTGGGCCTGGGGGAAAGGGAGGGTGAGCTGAGGGCTGGGGGTCTGACTGAGGTGGAGGTAAAGGTGCCCCCTCTTAGGCCAAGTCAGAGAGCTGGGATTCTAGAAGCTTCCAACTAGTGCTCCCTCAATTATTCACCAGTCCTGCCCCTCTGAGGCCTGGGAGGGAGGCAGGAGAAGACACCCAGACATAGACCTCGCTCCCCTCCCAGTATCACCTGGCTGGGCCCCAAGCCTGTGCCCATTCCCATTCCCGAATCCTGGGGACACAGATCCAGGTGTGGGTGTGAATGAGGGGAGGGGAGCTCAGGGTTTGGGGGAGGCAGAGAGAAAAGACAGGGGTGAGGCTCACCTGGCTTCTGGGGTTTCATAGCCGCTCCAAAGCCTGGTGGAGAGACAGGGAGCAGGTGAGGGACCCTGGCCCCATCCCTACACCTCCCCAGAGCCCCGGCCCACCCCTACCTGGTCCATAGCCATTCTGAGCTGCAGGGCCTGTGGGGAGAAGGTGGGGGAACCATAAAGCTGGCTGTGGGGCTGAGAGGCTGAGGCCAGGCCTGGGGGTCCCCTGGTCTTGCCTCCCACTTCTCTCCCATGGTCCTTGGCGCCCTGACACCCTTCACTCCTGAAGCAGGAGTGTCCTTCTTGTTAGAGCAGAGGTCGGCAAACTCATTAGTCAACAGAGCCAAATATCAACAGTACAACGATTGAAATTTCTTTTGAAAGCCAAATTTTTTAAACTGAAACTATATAGGTAGGTACATTGTTATTAACTTAATTAGGGTACTCCTAAGGCTTAGGAAGAGCCACACTCAAGGGGCCAAAGAGCTACATGTGGCTGGCGAGCCGCAGTTTGCTGACCACGGTCTTAGAGGTAAGCAGACCCCACTCCATGCATTAGTGCTGAGGAAGGTGGTGTCAGAGAGAGGCCTGAGAGAAATGAGGAGGACAGGATGGCTGTCCCCTCACCTGCTGGGGCTCCCAGTCCATTTCCATTACCATATCCTGGGGACACAGATCCGGGTGTGGGTGTGAATGAGGGGAGGGGAGCTCAGGGTTTGGGGGAGGCGGAGGGAAAAGGCTGGGGTGAGGCTCACCTGGCTTCTGGGGTTTCATAGCTGCTCCAAAGCCTGGTGGAGAGACAGGCAGCACTGAGGGCCCCGGGCCCCATCCCTGAGCCTCCCCAGAGCCCCGGCTCACCCCTACCTGGTCCATAGCCATTCTGAGCTGCAGGGCCTGTGGGGAGAAGGTGGGGGGAATGGTAAAGCTGGCTGTGGGCTGAGGGGCTGAGGCCAGCCCTGGGGTCCCCTGGTCTTGCCTCCCACTTCTCTCCCATGGTCCTTGGCCCCCTGACACCCTTCACTCCTGAAGCAGGAGCTCAGGGTTTGGGGGGGTGGCGGCGTGGAGAGGAAAGACAGGGGTGAGGCTCACCTGGCTTCTGGGGTTTCATAGCCGCTCCAAAGCCTGGTGGAGAGTCAGGGAGCGTGAGGGATCGGAGCCCCATCTCTGTGCCTCCCCAGAGCCCTAGGGTGCCCCTACCTGGTCCATAGCCGTTTTGAGCTGCAGGGCCTGGTGGAAGGAGAGAGGGGGCTCTGGCTGCTGGCCTCTCTCTGAGCCTCTACCCTCAGCCTGGCCCCTTTAGCTCTCACCTCAGACCTGGACCCGCCCAGCTGGGTCCTAGGCTTCCCCCTGGAGTCCAGCCTCCTCTAGAGCCTGAATGTCATACCTAGCTGCCTGGTCCATCTGGTTAGGCGTCACTGACAGCCACCATGTCTACCAGCCAGCAGGGTGAACTTGAGGCCGCCTTCTCCCCAGCCACGTGCCATCAGCCTCCCAGCCCCATGGCCTCCCAGCCTTCTTCGTGCCTGCACCCTCCCTGGTCCTCATTTATCAGCGGGCCTCGCCCTCTAGTGGGCATTCCGGCCCCGGAGTTGCATTCGCACTCCTCTCCTGTCTGCTCCGCCTGCCCACGTGCCCCGGCTCTGGGAGGGCCTGTCTCCAGCACTTGGCCGCCCCTGGATGTTTGTTCAATGAGTGTTTCTCGTGGGAAACCAAGTGGGAGAGGCGGAGGGCGGGTCTCACCTGGCTTCTGAGGTTTCAGTCCTCCGAGACCTGAGGAAGAGAAGGCACTGCCCATGAGTCTGAGTCCACCTCGCTCCTCCTCTCCCCTTAGAACCAGGGTCAGGCACCCACACCAGAGCCCCCTCGGCAACACCCCTGCTCCTGAGCTCCAGGGCCTTGCCTGGCTGGGCTCCTGCTCCCGGGAGGGCCCCGTTCCCGAATCCTGGGGAGACAGAGCAGGAGGGAGTGAGGAGGGATCTGGGGCGGGGGTGGAGCAGACGGATAAGGAGCCGTTAGACAGAGTGGGGCTCACCTGGCTTCTGGGGCTTTCCATTCCCTCCATAGCCTGGGGAAGAGATGAGCAGATGAGGGACCCAGAAACCCCACCCCTGGGCCTGCCCCAGAAACAGCTTCTGCCCTCCTGCCCCAGCGGTCCCTGCTCTACCTGGTCCAAAGCCATTCTGTGCTGCGCCACCTGGGGGGGCGGGGGGAAATGACACAGAAAAGCTGGGTGCTGCTGGCGGGGCAATGGCCCCCAGCCTCCCCTCCCCTGCCCTGCGGACCCCAGCCTCCCCTCCACTCAGCCTGGCTAGATTCACTAAGGGGGTAGGTGACTGTGGGGGCCTGTGTCCTGTGTCAGGGAGGGACTAGGGGGACTGAGGCTGTGAGGAACCCGAGCCCCAGGCCCCTCCCCACAGCCGCCCTCCGGGTCTGGCCCAGGAGACCCAGGTGGTAAACTCCGCTGCGTCTTCCTTCCAGGCCAGCCGTCCAGGGAACCCAGCCCTGGAAACTCCAGCCTCCAGGAGCGGGGTTCTCACTCTGCCTCAAGCCCCAGGCCTCCAGCTCCCTTCCAGCCTCAGGATCTGCCTTCTCACTTTCCAGCTCCCAGGGGTCCCCCGCCCGACAGTCCTGACCACAGTCCTTGAGAGGCACTGGGCTGGTGTGGCTCCGGGCCTGTGGGCTGAGTCTAGCCCAGGGGTGGGCAAACTTTTTGACTCGAGGGCCACAATGGGTTCTTAAACTGGACCGGAGGGCCGGAACAAAAGCATGGATGGAGTGTTTGTGTGAACTAATATAAATTCAAAGTAAACATCATTACATAAAAGGGTACGGTCTTTTTTTTTTTTTTTTTTTTAGTTTTATTCATTTCAAACGGGCCCGATCCGGCCCGCGGGCCGTAGTTTGCCCACGGCTGGCCTAGGGAGTCATCAGCTCTATTCAGGCCGACCAGAGTGTCTGCTGTGCCAGTCGTGGCCTCACTCAGGATGAGTGAAAGGAATGAGCCCCTCTGCGGGAGCAGGAGGTGGGGAGGGGTTCCCGGGGTCCTGGGTTCTTTCTCTGACTCCCTCCCCCAGACGCGTTGCCAGTGGGCCAGGTCCTGGTGGGAAGCAGCAGTGAGGAGGGGTCTGGGGATGGGCAGGGGTAGAATCAAGAAGGTGGGGCTGGAGGGCAGGCTCCCGGGCTCACCTGGTTGCTGCTGTTTCAGGCCTCCGCCCAAGCCTGGGGAAGACCAGGTGCCACTGGGCCATGGCACCTGGCTTCTCGGAGGACTGAAACCTCAGAAGCCAGGTGCCCCCGACCCCCACCACGGAAATCAGTTTCCCGCCCTCCTGATCACCCAGCTCCTCCCCCCTCTTCCTTCCCGGGACCCCAGCTTGGCCCAGGTGTCCTCACCTGGCTGGGCTTCGACTCCCGGGAAGGCCTTGGCTCCCATCTTATTCCCGTTGCCAAATCCTGGGGAGACGGAGAGGAAGGAGGTCAGGTTCCGCCAGGGGGCAGGGGAGGAGGGGGCGGATGGAAGACGCGACTGCAGGGACATGGGGACTGGGTAGGGCTCACCTGGCTTCGGAGGTTTCACACCCCCTCCGACTCCTGAGAAAGAGACGGGGACCAGGTAAAGGAGCCTGGCGAGCCCTCGACTCCCCAAACTGAGGCAGGTGCCCCCCAGCTCTCACCCCATCGCCTACCTGGTGCCTGGCCACCATGTGGAGGGGCAGGGCCTGTGGCGAGAGGGAAGGCAGAGACTGCGGGTGGGCGAGTGTGGGCTCACACCTGTGCTGTCCTCGTCCCAGGACCTCGGTGCCCACCCTCCCTGGCAGCTCCTCTCAGGGAGCCAGTGTGAGAAGGGCCTGGGAGTTAGGAGACCCTCCCCAAGACCAGCCCCCTGCAGGGAGCAGCCCTGCAAGGGTAATGGTGCCAGAGCTCGGCACCGGGTGAGAGGGAGTGGCCTCCACTCACCTGGCTTCTGAGGTTTCATCCCCCCTCCCAGGCCTAGGAAGAGAGAGGGAGAGAGGTCGACACTGACCCCGCCCCCCAGGAATGCAGACCCTGACCCTGAACCCCCTTTCCTCTGCCTGCCTGTCACCCTCACCTGGCCGGGATCCTGCCCCCGGGAAAGTGCTGGTTCCTACACCATTTGTGCTCCCGAATCCTGGGGACACAGAGGTGGGGGCTGTAGCCCTGAGGTGGGCGGGTTTGGGGCTCACGGAGGAACTGGGGTGAAAGGGGCAGGGGCGGGGCTGGCTCTCCACTCACCGGGCTTCGGAGGTTTCATTCCCCCTCCCAGGCCTGGGGGGCGACAGAGGGGCTGAGCCTGCGGTCCTCCCCCAAGAACCCAACTCCCTCCCCTACTGGTTCCTGGGTCCCAGCTCTCATCCCACCTCCTCCCTCCCTGAACCCCAGTGTGGAGCCTGGTGCCCTCACCTGGCTGGGCTCCCGGCCCTGGGAAGGCACCCGCTCCCAGTCCATTTCCATATCCTGGGGAGACAGAGCCAAGAGGGAAGAGGAGGGAAGAGGAGGGAAGAGGAGGGAGGAGCAGCTCCAAAGGCATCCAAACAGATGTCAGGTGGACAGAGGGGTGGGCGTAGGGAGCGGGTCTCACCTGGCTTCTGGGGCTTCACCCCCCCTCCAAAGCCTGAGGACAGAGATGCGGCAGATGAGGGGACCCCAGGGGCCCAGCCTCTTCCTAGGGCTCCATAGCCATGCTGAGCTGAGGGGCAGGGCAGGGGGCATTTGGGGTCCCAGCTGGGGTGAGGGTGAAGCAGGGGGACCCTGCTCTGCCGTCCTCAAACCAGATATCAGGAACCCTCAGGGTCCTTCCTTCTGCCTCCAGTGAGTCACCAGTTCTGCCCTGGGGGAGCCTGGGATAAGCACCCCCTAATGCCAACCCAGCCCTATCCCCCCGCCCCCCCACCTCACCTGGTTGGGCTGCGGCACCTGGGAAGGCCCCTGCTCCATGCCCGTTCCCATTCCCAAACCCTGAGGAGACAGGGCAGGAGGGGTCAGCAAGGAGCAGAGAGCACAGGGCATCAGGGCACACAGATGGGAGACAGCAGCTGGAGGGCTCACCTGGCTTGTGGGGTTTCATCCCCCCTCCAATGCCTGAGAAGGAGATGGATCAGGTGAGGGTCTGAAGAGACCCCATTTCAGGGATGCCCCTAGAATACTGGTCCCAACTCCCCCCAACTCCCACCTCTCCCAGTTCTGTAGCCATTCGGAGCTGGAGGGCTATGGGGAGAGGGAGGAATGATCTGGGAGGTTTGGGGTCCTAGATGGGGTGGGTGTGCAGGATCCTTGGACCCAGCCAGAAACAGCAAACCTGAAGGCTCCCAATCTCTGCACCCCCGCCCCCCGGCCCCCCCCCAATCATTCACCAACCTTCCCCCTCCCCTCTGAGGCTTGGGAGGGACCAAGGAGAGGACCAACCCAGACCCCATCACTCTCACCTGGCTGGACTCCCAGGCCATTCCTGTCCCTAAATCCTGGGGGGACAGATAGAGATGAGGGGTGTGAGAGGAAGATGGGGAGACACAGAGAGAGACAGCGGGGGCTGGGCAGGGCTCTGAAGTTTAATACCCCAGGAGGCCAGGGGGAGACTCAGGGAGCAGGCGAGGGACCCAGGTTCCCCCTTTCACCTCCCCCCACCCCCACAAAGCCTGCTCCCAGCTGGCCTGGGGGCCATGCAGTGAGGGGCAGGGTACATGCGTTAGATGACACCACAACAGCCTGGATGGATTCGTGGGGGGTGGGGGGCAGTGTGTGCAGGAGGGAAGGAGAGCACCTGCTGGAAGGGGTCTCAGGTGGGCTTCTCCGCCTGAGGGGTGTCAGGTACTTCCGAGATGGCTGCCCCCCAAATCTTATTTACCCACCCCTTACCTACTCCCCGGCCACTGGGGCGGGGGGGGGGTAGCCGGGGGGCGGGGAGGAAGTGTGTGGGGCCGAAGGGGGCAGAAGGGCCCAGGAGCCAGGGTGCTCGGCCTTCATTTGGGGGAAAGGGGCTGCCCACCCCCCCAGTTTTACCTGGTTTGTACCCTTTCGGGCTCCTTAAGCCTCCAGGGTCAGGAGAAAGGGGTACCCGGGAGGGGCAAGGAGGGCCAAATCCGGGCCTCCCTTCCCCCCCACGAACCAGGAGGGCACCCCTTCCCCCCCGGGACTCCCTTTTTCTTCTGTTCACAGGGGGAGCAAGGACAGAACCAGGTGACCAGCCTGGTGGCCAAAAGGGGGCTTTCTGGCCTGTGCGGGGGGGGGGGGGGGAGCCCCCATGCCCTCTTCCTCAGGGGTGTGTGCACCTCTTTCCTCCATGCTCACTGGAGCATCTTTGCGACCCCCCCTTTCTTGGAAATCTTATCCTCCTCACCCGGTCCCTCAGCGTTTCTCTCCAGCAGTAAGATGCCCCCTACTCCCCTCCCCACGCTCCAGCCTCCTCTCCTCCCATCCTGTCCCACCTCCAGGCCTTTGACCCTCTTGCTTCCAGCGATTTCCTTGTCCGGTTATAACCCAGTCCCCCTGCCCTTCCAGACCCAGCTCCAAGCCCCTCCTCTGGGCTCCCACGTTCTCACGCCCAGAGCTGAAGTTCTGCCCCATCTCACTCTGTTCTAAGGGTTCGGGTCTGTGCTTCCCACACGTGAGCTGACCCTGGACAAGACCGACTGCCAGGAGGACAGGGAGGGACCTGCTCTCCTGGGCTCCGCGTCTGGGAGCTCCCAGACCCCCGGGAGGAGAGACCAGGTCCTCTTCTTGAACCCCAGTGCCTGGAGGGTCCACTCACCTTTTCCTAGGCCAGAAGACAGTGAAGGCAGCCCTGGGGAGCAGGGAGTGCTGACTCAGAGTGGGGACCCCGAGGCAGAGAGGGGCAGGACCCATGCATATATACCCCAGCCCCCCAAAACCCAGACTTCACACACCCATCCCTCCCCCTTGGAGTCCCAGCCTCTGACCCAATGCTCTACCTATACCCCCAGCTCCAACCCCAGCTGCCCAGACCCTGTAGCTGCCCGAGGCCTGCCCTCACCGCCTTGCAGGCTTTCAGAAGTCAGGCAGAGCAGGAAAAGGGCTGCGGGGAAGGCCCAGGTGCCCATGATTCCTGGCAGAGTGGGAGGGCACACACCCTTTGAGCCTTTAAACACCTCTGCTGGGTGGGGGCCCTTTCCCAGGCCCCCCGCTGGGAGTGACAGAGGCTCTGTTGGCAGACCCCAGGGGGCCAGCCCCCACCTCCCTCTGCAGCAGGCGTCCAGTCCTCGGCCTCCCCCCTGCCCCGCTCCTCATCCATCATGGGTGCTGACAGCTGGGACGGCCCCCCACCTGGCGCACGAGGCTCCTCGACTCCTGTCAGGGTCTGGGACCCTGGCGCCAGGCCTGGCGGGCTCAGATGTTACCCCAGCAGCTGGTGAGGAGCAGGCAGGCACTGTGGGCACCCAGGCCCAGCCCAAACACAGCTGGGGAGAGGGGGGAGCCCGGCCCAGAAATGTGGGTGTGGCTGACAGGAGGGACTCAGTGAGTTACTGTGTTACTGGGAGAGAGAGAGAGAAGGAAGGAGGCAGAGGCTACAGTGTTACAAAGGCCTGTGGCCAGCTAACAATGAGGTGCACTGTATCTGACGCGTAGACTTGCCCACAAGAAGAGGGGTAATGTTATCCCATCCAACCCCGAGGACTGACGGGGTGGCACTGGGAGCTGGACCTTGGTCCCCACCTGGGGCTGGGCTTGCAGAGTGGGCCTGAGCCTCCTTCCCAGAGGGAACGGTGATCACAGGGACGGGTCACCCCATGCTCACCCTGTCCAAAGGTCCAGGGGTTTCTTTGTTAAAAATATTTTTAGTTCTGGCCGGTTTGGCTCAGTGGATAGAGCATCGGCCTGTGGACTGAAGGGTCCTGGGTTCGGTTCTGATCAAGGGCACATGACCAGGTGGCAGGCTCAGTCCCCAGTAGGGGGTGTGCAGGAGGCAGCCGATCAATGATTCTCTCTCATCATTGATGTTTCACTCTCTCTCTCTCCCTTCCCCTCCCTCTCTGAAATCAATACAAATACATTTTTAAAAAACTCTAGAAAAATATTTTAAAATTTGATTTTAAAGAGAGAGGAAGGGAGGGGGAGAGAGAGAGAAACACCAATCGATCCATCGATGCCTCCTGCACGTTCCCTACTGGGGATTGGAGCCTGCAAGCCGGGCATGTGCCCTAACTGGGAATGGAACCTGCAACCTTTTGGGGCATGGGCTGCAGCACAACCAACTGAGTCACACTGGCCAGGGCCTTACTGTTGAAGGCTCTGCAAGGCCCACCCACGGCCGGAGGTCCTCCCAGTTTCACCTCCATCTCTAACCGAAATGCAGCAGCACTGACTCTAGTTTTGGGGGACAGACTCTCAGGGGGCCACTTCTTAGGGTGTGGTGGGGGCAAGATTGCAAGAAGGGTACCTGGGGGGCTAGTAACACTCCATTCCTATGGGGGGGCAGATGGAATCAGGCCAGGTGAAGGGGGCTTGGTGAGCATGAGAGGACAGGAGAGGCAGGCCTGGGAAATGTCAGGAGTCAAGGGTCTGGACACCAGCCCTCACCTCCTCCAGGGAGTCTGTGGACCCCCCTGGGCTGCTGGGGACAGCGGTGACTCAGACCCCAGGACCCTAGTCCAGAAGCCCCCGTACCCTATCTGCTGGCTTGCCCCCTGCCCCGTCAGCCCCTTCCTCCCCAGCACCTGTGGCTAAGGGGGGCAGTCTGCCAAACGAAGCAGGCTGGCACAGCGAGGGCCTGGAAAGAAGCTCAGTGAGGAGTGGGCAGCGGGTGTTGGGTTTTGCTTCTTATGTGAGGCCTTTGAGCCCACAACACCTAATGGGACAGCTCCAGTCACCAGCGGACTGCAGGGCTTTTCCCAGGTATCCCTTTACCTGCAGTCCCCCCAGCACTGAGTTGTGCCTGCATCTCCCCTCCCACCCACCCTTGCTGCTCTCTCTCCCCACACCTGAGGGCCTGCACCCAGGGACCATGCTTACCTGAGCATGCCTGCGCGTGCGCGCACACACACACACACACACACACACACACGCCTGTGGCACCCATCTCCCCCGACAGACCCACCTTTGCACAAGGCTCCTGCTGGGTCCCTTCAGTCCAGCGCCCTGGCACCGCATCCCACATGCCCACCTCCTGCCCTGCCTGGCAGAGGGCTGTGACCTGGAGTCCTGGAGGCTGGACCTTCTACTGGCTGCTGGGAGTGGCTCAGGGGTGGCCCCTGGCTCCAACCACCCAAAGGAGCCTGGGATAGCGGGGACAGTTCCCTCAGGCTCCCCGGGGAGGGCTCTCCTGCCTGCCCCCTGCTCCTCCCCATGGCAACAAGCACTGGCTCCCTGGCCTCCTCACGGAGGGCAGCTGAGTGGCCTCAGCGTTAGCAGGCTGGGTGCTGGATTCAGATGCAGGTTGGGTTAAGTATCCGCTTTATCCAGCTGGGGAGTTGGAGCAGGTACCTGACCTCCCTGAGTCTGTTCACTCTCCTCTAACATGATGATGCTATAGTGCCGGGGCTATTGAGGGAGCTACTTCCTACTCCGCTTTACAGATGGGGAAACAGAGGCAGAGCGGAGAAGGGACTTGGCTCAGATTGCCCACCTCCTAAGCAGCGGGGCTGGAGTTTGGAGCCAGGCAGTCCACCCCCACCCCTACCCCAGTCCACGGTCCTCCACTCCCCGCTACTCCACATACTTTTGGCAGCAACAGGCCCAGTTACTTGAGACACAGCATTGCTCTGTGCCCGCCCCACACCAGCCTGGGCCCTGCCTTAGACCTGGGATAGCTGAGGGTCCCCTGTACAGACCCAGACACGCAGACACTCAGCTCACCCGAAGGGCGCCGGGGCGGCTTGGCCCAGAGGAGGCCGGCGGGGAGACTGGGAGGGCAACGCAGGAGGTAAAGGCCAGGTGCCTGCTCCGTCGCTGCTGGAGGGAACGCCAATGTCCACCACCTCTGCCAGGCTGTCTGGGTGCTGGCATGGGCCTGTGGGAAATGCCAGACAGCCAGGGGCCTCAGGCCAGCTTGATGCCACTCAGGACCAGGGCTGGGCCCAGTTGGGCACCCGCAGCCCCTGCATTGCCACCACCCCTACCCCCAGCACAGCTAGTCCCCTCAGCTCACCCCCAGCCCCAAACAGGCAGGGAGGGCCTGAGAGCACATGGATCACTTGGGGGCTGACAGAGCTCTTGATGGAGCCCAGGCCTGGGCTACCCTTTGCTCCCAGGCCTGAGGGGACACAGCCCAGCCTCTGAACAGAGGAGCACCTTTGAGGGCCAGAGCTAGAAGCCCAGGGCAAGGAGACAGCTGGAGTGTTAAAGGCGGAGGATGGAAGCCCAGGAAGTGCATCACCTAAAATGACACCGCCTGTGCCAATAGACTCCCAGCCATCTGCTCACGGAAGCGCCACCTGCCAGGGTGGGAATGTGGGGAGAATAGCTTGAAGGGCGGCCAGGCGCCTGCAGGGCGGACACCTTTGGAACCTGCAGCTGTGCTAAGGCCTCCTCAGGTCACCCTCTCCTCCCTCTTTGTGGCAGCTCTTCAGCCCCATCCCTGACTCAGAGCCTCTGGGACACCCTCCCAGGCGTCCCCAGGCACTTGCACTGCGCAAAGCTGAACGGTAGCGACTCCCTCTCCTCACTCACCTGTCAGTTTATTAAAACCTCGTGCCAGTGTGAAGTATGGGGTACATTCCGAAGTGTGCATAAGACAGGAATGTACAATATAACAAATACCTGTAAAGCGAACACCTATGCAGCTGGCTCAGAGGCCAAGAAACAGAACCCAGCCCGCTCCCCAGCAGCACCCCTCACAATCTCCTCCTTCCTGCCAGGGTAGCCACATTTGCACTGTGGCTGTTTCCTCGCCTTTTTACTTCACCTTATCCTGTTTGGTGGCCACATTGGAGACTTCCCAGAGGAAAATCTGAGTGGGCCTGGTACTGTGACACGATGACAGCAACGGGGACACACCTAGATATTCGGCTGGGAACCCCACTATTGAGCAGGGCTTGGGGGCTTTCTCCCGGACCAAGCCACAGTCAAGCGCTTTGGTCTCAGATCCTGTGGGCCCAGGCCTCTCTGTCCCTGTGACCCCGGGTGGGTGTGGAAGTCCTGACCCCTCTCCTCCAGATTCCTCCTTTTGGCCCAGACGGCTGCTTTGAAAACGGCAAAACACTGTGCAAAGGAGGGAGTGTTACTGTTATTAAACAATGAGTAAGTTCCTACTATGTGCTAGGCCCTGCACTAAGCACTTCACATACATTTGCTCATTTAATGCTCAGAACCCCCAAGGAGGTAGGAACTGTTATTATTATCCCCATTTTACAAATGTGAGAACAGGCCCAGAGACATAAAGCAACTTGTGTGTGGCAGAGAAAGAGCCTAAATTTCCCTGACTCTATGGCCCAGGCGCTTACCTGCTATCTGTACCCAACTTTACATTATATCCCTTCCACACAGTGAAATGTCCGTTGGAAGAATGTTTTTTATTATTTATTTACTTATTTTCTAAAATATATTTTTATTGATTTCAAAGAGGAAGAGAGAGGTAGAAACATCCATGATGAGAGAGAATCATCAATTGGTTGCCTCCTGCAGGCCCCACAATGGGGATCGAGCCTGCAACCCAGGCATGTGCCCTGACCGGGAATGGAACCGTGACCTCCTGGTTCATGGGTCGATGCTCAACCACTGAGCCACGCTGGCTGGGTGGAAGAATGTTTTTAAATTTTTAAAAAACTGCTTTAAGTCATTGCAAATTAGACATTCAAGAATGGGCAGCTGGAAAGAGGCCTGAATCCAGGACTCCTGGAGACGGGATTGGCAGAGGGGATGACAGCTGGAGAGAGGCATGCCTGCTCCCCAGGCCTCCTGGGGACAAGCCTGGGGTCTTTAACATGGATCCAGGGTGAGTCATGGGGGCCGTGGCTGCCAGAGATGCTAATGCAAAGGAAGAGTGTAAGGAGGGGGGAGGGGGCTGAATCCCCTAACCTGGGGTGCCCTGGAGAATGTTCCCTGAAGGGCAATCCCTGAAGGGCAAGCACTGCAATGGGTTGGGAGCCCTGAAGCCCATGACACCTTTCAGCGTCTTGGGAGATGGATGGTCGAGAGGATAGAATTTTAGCTAGAGGAAAGTGCAATACGAAAGTGGGAAGGGATATGTGATGAGATGCAGAGCATTCTGGGGGGGCGGGGTGGCCTGGAAGGGTGACACCGCTCCACCCGGTGAAGGAGCCCCAGCCGCACCGTTAGGAGTCTGCACTTGCTTTGAGCCAGCCTCCTGCTAAGTACTTTAAGGGGATCATCTCCCTTGAAACTCCAGTGCCGTGAGGAAGGCTTTGTCAGCTCAATTTTTAGAGGAGAGGAGACTCAGAAAGGCCCAGGTGCGTCCCCAAGGTCGTTCAGCCCGGAAGGAGCTGAGGGCGCTGTGAGCTGAGCTCAGGTTTCCAATCCAATGAATGGGGTGGGGTGGGGGGGTTGCTACCGTGGTGGCTGAGGCCCGGGGCTCCAGCCTCGGTGTCTGCAGGGAGAGTTAGCATTTTCTGGTTCCCAAGCCAGAGCCAGGCGTCCCGCGGGTCGGAGGAAGGTGTGTCTGGCACCCGCCCCGTCGGGATCCCTGAGGACGCAGGGACTTCCTGCCCTGCCCAGAGGTGATCGCCTCCTGTCCTGGGCCGACTCGTCTGCTCCCTTTATAGTCGCGAACATGGGAGACGGTCCTGGGAGTCGGGACCGGGGTCCGGAGGTCGGCTGGCGTCTGGGAGACCAGGCGGGAGGGATCCCCGTTGGCTCCGGACCCGCTGCCACGCCGCAGCCCCCGGAGGCAGGACGCAGACACCTCCGCCCCCGGCCGGCGCCGAGCGGCACTGCGCCTGCGCGGTGAGAACGCGGGGGCGGGGCGGAGGGGGCGGGGCGGGAGGGGGCGGGGCGGCGGCGCTTCCTCGGACGTGAGCGGCTGAGCCCGGAAGGCTGGGCGCCCGCGATGGGCTCCTCGGGGCGGGGGCGGGGGAAGAGGCGTTCCTGGGCGGGGACTCGAGGCCGGTTTGGAATTTTTGGCGCGAGTTGGCTCCGCGGGCGTTCACGGGCCGTTCCCCCGCCGGAGGTTCCTGTCGTCGCGGCGGGAAGAGCTGTCGACGGCCGGCCCGGCTCTCCTGACCGCCCCGAAGGCGCCCCGCGGCCTCGGCGGGCCCAAGTCGGGACCTCCCGGAGCGGCGCCCCGCCCACCTGCGCCAGGTAGCCCGGCCGGGCCCTGAGCGCTCCTCGGCCGCCCCCCCTCCCCTCCGCTCCCCTTGGCTCCGGCGCCCCTACCCTCTGTGAGCTCCGGTCAGCCTCCTCCCCCTCCTCCCCCGTCGCCCTCCGGCCTCCTCCCCTCCCCGTCGGGCTGGGTCCCGCCCTGTCCCTCTGCTCACCCCTCTTCCGTAGCCCTGCCCGCGGCCGGCCCCGGGCGCCCCGCCCCCTTACCCCCCTTCTTATGTTATGGCCCCCTTGTTAGGTACGGCATCCTTTTTTAAAAAGTATATTTTTAATCGATTTTTTTTTTTTTTTAGAGAGAGAGGAAGGGAGAGGGAGAGAGAGAAGAAAACACATGGATGTGACTTGAGAGCTAAACATCCATTGGCTACCTCCCGCATGCCTCCTACCGGGGATCAAACCAGCAACCTTTCAGTGCAGGGGGCGATGCCCAACCAACTGAGCCACACTGGCCGTGGCCGGCATGGCATCTTTTGATACACTGTGGCTTCCTCTCAAAATTACATTCCCCTCCTTTTGTGTTCTTGTTCGTGTTTCAGTTACAACATTATAGCAACACAAAAAGCCTTCTCTGCCCCAACACACAGAGCTACTGATACCTGTGGGGCCCCTGTGGCTTTGTGAGTCTTTTAACAGCATTTATTAAGGAATCTGCATGCCAGACGCTAGGCCGAGGCTTCCCGGAGATGATTATTACAGGTCCACAAATCCTGAGGCCAGGAGTGTTTTGGAATTCAAAATGTGTCAGATTTTAGAAAGCTAATAGGGTGCATATAACATTTATATGTAACACCACCCATGGGTCTGGGACATCATTCAGTAATCAAACACATTAATATTTTTGTCAAGAAATATATGCATATTCACACTTAGAGGGGGAAAGTAGGTCAGACCATATTTTTCTGCCAAATGAGGTATTTATTTATTATTTGTTTATGGCCAAATGAGTTTTATGTAAATATCTAGTTGTCCCACTTGTTGAGAAAACTATTCTTACCCACTGAATTGTTTTGGCACCCTGTCAAAATCAATTGACTATAAATGTAAGGGTTTATTTCTGAATTTTCAATTCTATTCCATTGATCTATATGTCTATCCTTATGTAAATACAATACTGTTTTGATTATTGTAACTTTGTAGTATTGTAAGTTTTGAAATTGGGAAGTATGAATCCTCCAACTTTTTGAATGTTTTGACTATTCTGGGTCTAGTGAATTTGCATATAAATTTTAGGATCAGCTTGTCAATTTCTATAAAGAATCCAGCTGGGATTCTAATAGGGGTTGTGCTGAATCTGTAGATCAATTTGGAGAGTATTGCCACTTTATCCATATTAAATCTTTGGATCTATGAACATGTAATATCTTTTCATTTACAGGTGGGGCAAAAGTAGGATTACAGTTTGTATGGAAAATAATAAAGTAATTCATAAATAATAATAATATAAGAATAAACTACTTTGCATACTCACAACTGTAAACTTACTTTTGCCCCACTCTCTATTTGGGTTGTCTTTAATTTCCTAAAGAAGCTGAGGGAATAAAGGAAAGAAAGTATATGTGCATGTTTGTTATATTGACATTCTTATTTACAATGTCTGGTTCTCTTCATTTGTTCAAGTTACCACTTGGTGTCATTTTCTTTTTTTTTTTTTTAAATGTATTTTATTGATTTTTTACAGAGAGGAAGGGAGAGAGATAGAGAGTCAGAAACATCGATGAGAGAGAAACACCGATCAGCTGCCTCCTGCACATCTCCCACTGGGGATGTGCCCGCAACCCAGGTACAGGCCCTTGACCGGAATCGAACCTGGGACCCTTCAGTCCGAAGGCCGACGCTCTATCCACTGAGCCAAACCGGCCTCGGCTGGTGTCATTTTCTAGTCCAGTATAGTTTTGTTCTTTCCCATCTCCTTTGTGCTGTTATTTGCAAGTATATCACATTTCTTTATGCTACATGCCTAACAATACATTTACACACATATTGTTTCATACAATTGCTTTTTTAAAAAATATATATATATATTTTTATTGATTTCAGAGAGGAAGAGAGAGGGAGAGAGAAATAGAAACATCAATGATGGGAGAGAATCATTGATTGACTGCCTCCTGCAGGCCCCACACTGAGGATCGAGCCGGCAACCCGGGCATATGCCCTTGACTGGAATTGAACCCAGGACCCTTCAATCCAAGGCTGACATGCTTTATCCGCTGAGCCAAACTGAACTATTCGTTTAGTTCTTTGAGCATATTTATAGACTACTTTGAAGTCTTTCTTTGTTAAATCTGACATCTAGTCCTTCTTACAAGTAGTTTCTGTTGCCTGTTATTTTTATTTAAATTTTAAAGATATTTTTACTTTTATTTTTTTAAACATTATTTTATTTATTGATTTTAGAGAGAAAGACAGAGAGAGGGGGAGAAACATCAATTTGTTGTTCACTTAATTATGCGTTCATTGGTTTGTATGTTCCCTGATTGGGGATGTGCCCTGACTGGGGATGGAACTTGCAACCTTGGTGTCTCAGGATGAAGCTCTACCAACCAGCCACCCAGGGCTGCCTTTTATTTTATTTTATCTTTCCTGTGTGGGGGTCACACTTTCCCGTGTATTGCACATCTTGTAATTTTTTGTTGAAAACTGGAGATTTTTTTTAAAGATTGGTAAACTTTTAACAAATATGTTTTTATTGATTTTAGAAGGGAGAGGGAGATAGAAACATCAGTGATGAGAGAGAATCATTGATTGGCTGCCTCCTGCAGGCCCCCTGCTGGGGATCGAGCCTGCAACCTGGACATGTGCCCTTAAGGGGAATCCAACTGAGACCTCCTGGATTATGGGTTGACGCTCAACCACTGAGCCACACCGGCGGGCAAAACCAGACATTTACTTTTTATATGTTTTTATTGATTTCAGAGAGTAAGGGATAGTGAGAGAGAGAGATAGAAACATCAATGATGAGAGAGAATCGTTGATTGGCTGCCTCCTGCATCCCCCGCCCCACCCCCCAATTGGGGATCTAGCCTGCACCCATGATCTCCTGGTTCATAGGTCACTGAGCCACGCTGACTGGGCAAAAACTGGACGTTGTTGTTTTGTTTTTTTACATTTTAGCAACTGTGTGTACTGGCTCCTCAATCCCCCTGGGGCTTGTGATTTTTTTTTTCTTATCTATTTGTTTAGTGATTGACTGGACCATTGCAGTGACATGTCTTTCTGCAGCATGAAGTCTCTGACATGGCTCCTCAGAGGACCCAGCCTGGAACATCTACCAAGGGTCCTCAAGCTACGGCCCGCGGGCCACATGCAAATACAAATATTGTATTTGTTCCCGTTTTGTTTTTTTACTTCAAAATAAGATATGTGCAGTGTGCATAGGAATTTGTTCATAGTTTTTTTTTAAACTATAGTCCGGCCCTCCAACAGTCTGAGGGACAGTGAACTGGCCCCCTGTTTAAAAAGTTTGAGGACCCCTGATCTACACAGTCAACCTGGGACCCCGGGGCTTTCAGGGGGGCTGTCTTTGACTGCTTTTCCTAATCATATCCACCTGTTGGGCTCCCCCAGTTGCTAGCTGTCTTTATTGTTTTTGTCGTGGAGCACCAATTGCTCCATTGACTGGTCCAATTAAATTTAGGCTCCTTTAACAGGATAGCTTTTGAGTTCAGTGTTTGAGGTTTGTTTTGACTCCAGGAAGGCTCTTTTTATCTATCTCTTTACCTGGTTCTCTCTGGTAAATTACCTGGTTGTAATAATAGAGGCGCCAGCCTCGGCCTATTTGTGTACCACCCACACCTTGATTGATTTTTAAATTAAATCTTTATTGTTGAAAGTATTGCATGTCTCCCTCCACCCCCTCCCCATTGACCTGTTCTGGCCCACCCCTGCCCCCCACCCCAGACCTTCACCACCCTATCGTCTGTGTCCATGGGTTATGCATGTATGTATACAAGTTCTTTGGTTGATCTCTTCCCACCCACCCATCCTCCCCCACCTTCCCTCTGAGATTCTGCAGTCTGTTTTATGCTTCTATGCCTTTAGATCTATGTTGTTCATCAGTTTGTTTTGTTCATTAGATTTCACATATGAGTGAGATCGTGTAATACTTGTCTTTCTCTGACTGGCTTATTTTGCTTAGCATAATACTCTCCAGGTCCCTCCATGCTGTCTCAAAGGGTAAGAGATCCTTCTTTTTTTTACTGCTGCATAGTATTCCATGGTGTAGATGTACCACAGCTTTTTTATTCACTCATCTGCTGATGGGCACTTAGGCTATTTCCAGATCTTAGCTATTGTAAATTGTGCTGTTATGAACATAGGGGTGCATACATTCTTTCTGATTGGTGTTTTGGGTTTCTTAGGATGTATTCCTAGAAGTGGGATCACTGGATCAAAGGGCATATCCATATTTAATTTTTTGAGAAAACTTCATACTGTTTTCCATAATGGCTGCACCGGTCTGCATTCCCACCAGCAGTGTACTAGGGTTCCCTTTTCTCCACATCCTCACCAGCACTTGTCATTTGTTGATTTGTTGATGGTAGCCATTAGCCATTCTGTTACTGATTTTTTAGAGGACCTTTATACTTGAACTGCCCATATTCTGTTTTAAATAAAGTCTGTTTGTTTGTTTGTTTATAGGGAGAGCTTCAGAGCTGTCTGTTTTATAACTACCTCTCCCCCAGGCAGAATGTCTGAGCTTCCGCTCTGGAGCTGCGGGCAGGGTCAGTTACGCCCATCTCCCTGAGTGACACCGCTGCCTTCTGATGGGGCGGCAGCCTGTGGTCTCAGCTTGCCCCGCCCAGTGTGGAACCTCCTTCCGAGGAATGAGCTGGGCCTTGAGCTATTGTGCTGTCTGTATACCTGACCTGCTGGACCCTAGGCAGAGCTTGCGCCTTCCGAGTGGGGGCTGGTGAAAGGAGGGAGCCTGGCCTCTCGGCTACATCCAGCTGGGACTTAGCCTCTGCAACATGGAGTTGAAAGTGGGACTCCACTACACGCGTTTTAGAATCACAACTATGAAAAAGAGAGCAAGGAACTTGGAATCAGACCTTTTTATACTTTGAAATCGGAGATAAGGGAGTGTGGGCCTGTGTGAATATGTCCTCCTTACAGTCTTGGAAGAGATCGCATATCTTAAGGTCAAATAGCAGTTGTGACAAGGCAGGGTGTGTGCACAGGGAGTCTGGCTCCAGAACCTGCGTTGATTTAACCTCTGCTGAATGGTGGGAGCCTCTGGGACATGGCCCCATGCATTTCAGTTTGTGTTTCTAGGACCTCCAGGTACAGACGACTGTGTGCAGGTGTGTATGTATTTGTTCTCTGCCTTTTCCCACCAGGTGCTCCTGTCTCCACAGCCTCCATGTTTAAAGGAGAACATGTGTGAGGAGTAGACGCGGCTTCTTCCACAGCCTCTCTGGGGCCACAGGGCAAGGAACTGTTGGAGTGGACACGTTGTTCTGTACTCTACCTCTCAGTGCCTCCTGTGCTGGCCATGCCTGTGCCCACAGAGGGCACCCCACCACCCCTGAGTGGCACCCCGACCCCAGTCCCAGCCTACTTCCGCCATGCAGAACCTGGCTTTTCCCTCAAGAGGCCCAGGGGGCTTAGTCAGAGCCTTCCGCCCCGGCCCCCTGCCAAGGGCAGCATCCCCATCAGTCGCCTCTTCCCTCGGACCCCAGGCTGGCACCAGCCCAAACCCCGGAAGGTGTCATTTCAAGGCAAAGCCTCTGGGACCCTGCAGAGCCCCAGTTACGACCCAAGCCGGCCGGAGTCCTTCTTCCAACAGAGTTTCCAGAGGCTGGGCCGCCTGGGTCGTGGCTCCTATGGAGAGGTCTTCAAGGTGAGTGGAGTGACAGTGCTATGGGCCTGTCTGGGGGTGCCCCCTTGCCCCCCTCCCTCTGCCTGGATGGGATAGTATCCTGGGCAGCCTGCTCCCCTTCTCTCCTGACAGCCCACTTCTCCTGGGCTGACAGACACCCCTCCTCAGTGTTTGATTTGGCTGCTTTCTCATAAACCCCCACACAGGCCCCTTCGAGGCCCCCTCAGTGCACACTCTCCCTTTGTCCAGAGCCTGGCAATGGCTCCTGGCTACCATCTCCTCCCACCCTGGAGCCAGCTGATCTTGGCAAGCTCTGCCTGGTCCCAGAGCCAGCCCCAGAGTGCAGTGCACACCCTGCCCCCACCACCCCCCAGGCCGCAGATACTTAGGCTATACTCTGTACACCACCTTTTTTTTCTTCTTAAAATATATTTTCCAATAATTTATATTTCCTTTAAAATGGTAGTATTCCTTACACAAGTACTACAAACAACGTGGGCCCCTAGATTAGCTCTTCTTCTAGAACTCTCTATACATCTCTAGAATTGGCCATATAGAAACAAACCAATTAGTATTCTACACAGTGGATCACACTGCCTGTATTGTTCTGAAGCCAGCTGTTTTTATTTCATAATAGTTTGAGAGACCCTCCAGATTAGTTCTTAGAGGTCTGCCCTGTCTCTTCCTTGCTTGGGTCTCTAGTGAGCCAATGCCTGGGGTAGAGGTCTGTCTGGTCTTGCTATTGCATGTGCAGGGGTCTCTAAGGTAGATGCCATGCTGCACCTTCCACACATGTGAAATCTTAATAGAATCTGCCGTTCTGCTAAATGGTTGTGCTACTTGCCATCCCACCCTCAGGTACTATCTCCTTTGCAGGTGCGTTCCAAGGAAGATGGCCAGCTCTACGCAATAAAGCGTTCCATGTCACCATTCCGGGGCCCCAAGGACCGGGCCCGAAAGCTGGCTGAGGTCAGTGGCCATGAGAAGGTGGGGCAGCACCCATGCTGTGTGCGGCTGGAGCGAGCCTGGGAGGAGGGCGGCATCCTGTACCTGCAGACAGAGCTGTGTGGGCCCAGCCTGCAGCAGCACTGTGAGGCCTGGGGCACTGGCCTGCCTGAGGCCCAGGTCTGGGGCTACCTGCGGGATACCCTCCTCGCTCTGGCTCACCTGCATGGCCAAGGCCTGGTCCACCTTGACATCAAGCCTGCCAACATCTTCCTGGGGTCCCGGGGCCGCTGCAAAGTGGGTGACTTTGGGCTGCTGGTGGAGCTGGATGAATCTGGAGCTGGTGAGGCCCAGGAGGGAGACCCCCGCTACATGGCCCCCGAGCTGCTGCAGGGCTCCTATGGGACAGCAGCCGATGTGTTCAGGTAAGGGCTGGGCCATGGGAGGCCCTTCATGGCTGGGGTGCAGTCAGCAGAGGGAGGGAAATGCCATCCTAGCCCAAAGTCAGGAAGATTTGGCCTCAGGCTGGGAGACAGTGCCCTGAGGGGGTGAAGCCACCACCCTCTAGTTGAGGGTGGTCTACAGTCAGGCTGTCTAAGCAGCAAATCATCTGGAGTTACTTTACTAGATTCACCCATCTCTTTACCACATCTCCATGGAGGGACTATTATTACTCCATTTATAGGGGAATGGGCACAGTGGGGTTAAAGGACTTGCCCAGAGTCCACAGTTAGCAGGGGGTGAAGCTGGGACTAGACCAGGCACTGGGTTCCATGATGCATGTCAGTAACCATTGCTCTGCCTCTAACCGCCTATCCAGCCATATCTACAGGATCCTGATAGTAACACTAGTAACCATAGTGTCTATCTGGCGGGGGTGCCAGGAGGACTCATCGCAGTGGTTTGTGGGCTGCACTGAACACTGGGTTCATGCTTCATGAATGTGTTCCCCTCATTGGCTCTGCTGGGGCCTTCTCAGAGCCCCCAGCCACTCCTTCCCCACCTGCCTGGCTCATGGTAGAAGACAGCGGCTCTTTTCCACCCTCTTCTGAGGGGCATCCTGGGGCTCTGGGATCTGTGGCCCAAGGCTAACCTTGTCTGTCTTCTGTCCCTGTCTCTACCCCCATTCCCCCCCCAGTCTGGGTCTCACCATCCTGGAAGTGGCGTGCAACATGGAGCTGCCCCATGGTGGAGAGGGCTGGCAGCAGCTGCGCCAGGGCTACTTGCCCCCTGAATTCACTGCCGGTGAGTGGTGGTGGCGGGGGGGGGAGGGGACATGGTGCTACAGACTTGTGTGAGGAAGTGGTTAGTTGTGAGGAGACTGCTGGGCTCAGAGCCCAGTCACCCTTGACATAGTTCTACCCTGTGGACAGGCCTGTCTCCTGAGCTGCGGTCTGTCCTCAGCATGATGCTGGAGCCTGATCCCAAGCTGCGGGCCACAGCTGAGACCCTGCTGGCCCTGCCTATGCTCAGGCAGCCACAGCCCTGGAGTGTCCTGTGGTTCATGGCTGCTGAAGCCCTGAGTCGAGGCTGGGCCCTTTGGCAGGTAAGACTGGTAAAGGTAACAGACTACCCTGCTTCTGGCCCTGGATTCTGTCCAGCCTCCCTTGGCCCCTATCCCCACAGGCCCTGCTTGCTCTGCTGTGCTGGCTCTGGCATGGGCTGGCTCACCCTGCCAGCTGGCTACAGCCCCTGAGGCCTCCAGCCACCCCGCCCGGCTCGCCGCCCTACAGCTTCCTCCTGGACAACAGCCACTCCAGCAACTGGGATGACGACAGCATAGGGTGGGTGAGAGCTCAGGACTGATGGGCAGGGGTGGGGAGACGGGCTGTCAGCGTGGCCAAACCCCATACAGAGACCAGGCTCCATGGGGATTAGTGGTGAACAGGGACCCTCCCATAAACCTGGCCCCCCTCATACCCTGGGAAGGGCACCAAGGCTGGTGGGAGTACAGCCTGGCCTGGTTTGAATGCAGTTGTTTCTTCTGAGCTCAGAACATGGAACAGCTGCTGTGCAGAGCAAGCAGAATGGCAACTTCACACTTAGGGCCCTGCCACACTAGGGAGAGGCAGGTGGTGCAGCTCCAACCGCAGTCCAGGCTGCCAGTGCCCAAGGACAAGCATTGTCCTTTTCAGGGGACAAAGTTCCCAGAGCCTGGCGAGCCCCCATCCTGGGAGGAATTCCTTAGTCCCAGATGCCTGCTGGCCAAGAGAGAGGCTATAATTAAGAAACTGTGGCAAAGGAAAACCACATGCTCAGGGCAGACAGTTCTCAGGAGAAATCACACCATGAACCCTTCCTTATGAAAGTGCCATCACAGGGCAGTCCTGCTGGGGGGCTCAGTTAGTGGGATCACTGTCCTGTACACCAAAAGGTCGTGGTTGTGATTTCCGGTCAAGGCATATACATAGGTTTCGGGTTCCATCCCTTGTCAGGGTGCCTATGGGAGGCAATCTGTTGGTGTTTCTCTCACATTGAAGTTTCTCTTTCCCTTTCTCTCTCTCTCTTTCTCTCTCTCAAAAAAATCAAAAAACAAAACATCCTCAGGTGAGAATTAAAAAGAAAATGTCACCCTGTTGTCACAGGGACACTTTATAGCAGAAGAGAAGTGCAAAGTAAGCTTCCTTCACCACAGGTTCACTTCAAAGCCAGCTCAGCTGAAGCCCATGTGTTCTGAAAAGGGACTAGGTGATCAGGTAGACTTTAAAAGTTGTGCGAATGATTCTTTCAAAGGGCACCACACTTCATTGCCTGTGTCCAGTAGGAGCCTACACAGGGACAGGGTTGATTGTGCTGTTCCCACAGCCTCCTCCCCATGCACTCCCACTGCTTTGACACCCTGCTTGTCTTGCCCACCCCGTGCAGACCCTCATTCTCTCCAGAGGCCATCCTGGCCAGGACCGCCAGGAGCACCTCCTCCACTCCCCAGAGGAGGCAGACACTGAGGTGGGTAGGCCCAGGGTCAGAGGTAGGGAGGTGGGAGGGCCCTTTCAAATCCTGAGTGTCATTTCTCTCTCTTCTACCCCCTAGGGATGACCTGGACCTAAGTGACATTGACTCAGAGTCCCCTCATGGCTCCTTCCCCTCCTTTGAGCCTCGGAACCTCCTCAGCCTGTTTGAGGACTCACTGGGCCCAGCCTGAGCCCCTCGCAGCCTTGGTGCTTTTAACCTTTTAGCTCCTTCCCCCATCCCTGAGGCTGGGGTCCCTCTGGGCACTCCCGTGGTCCCTTCTGCCTGGCCATGTCTAATAAAAGATATCTGAATCTTGGGAGCACCCAAGCTTGCTTGCATGGCAACACAGCACTTCCTGCCCATTTTATTGACATCGCCCAGGGTCTGAGGGCCCTGGGACGGGCTGAGGCTGAGGCTGGCTGCAGAGCCCCAGGCCAGCACATTGCAGCTGGGAGCCCCATGCTGTGTGGACCAGAGATTTCCTGAGCAGGCGTGTCCCCGGTGGGCAGGTTGAGCCTTCAGAACATGGCACTCAAGGTGGAGGGTGGGCCCTTAGCCCAGTGGTCCAGGGCCACTCAGCTCTTCACATCTGTGCCAGTTGCCTGGGAAAAGCAGCAGCAGTCTTCCTGCCCCTTGGTCCTGGGATCAATGGATAGTCCTGCTGTCCAAACCCCTCACTCCATTCTGGACAGAAGGAAGAAGGGGTGGGTGAGCCTTAGGGTGCTGGATGGGCTGGCATGCAGGGCCAAAAGATGAGGAATCGTGGATTGGTGGCCAGGCCAGCCACCCATGAGGTACCTTAGAAGGGGCAGGGTGGGGCTATGGCTCTGGGCTGGCAGGACTCCAGCCATCAGAGCTAGACGGACCCCAACATCCCTCTGGTCCAACCCTCACAGGTCATGGAGGGTAAACAGGCCCTTAGAAGGACCGGTTTCCTTCTAGCTGCACAGGAAGACACTGCCCTGGAAGGAGGCGGGGAAGGAAGCGGGAGCTCCGAGGTGTGGGTGGAGGAGAGGCTCGTCCACAGGGAAGAGTGGGTGAACAGCTGGGAGGCATCCAAGGAGCCGGTCCCTTGCAGACCAGCAGGAGGAGGGAAGCCCGGTGGTGTTGGCCCTAGAAGACTGGACAGGCTGGCATTGTGTGTGGGCCATGGCTCAGTCTGGGGGACAGGCGTGGTGGGCGGCCCAGAGCAGGTCAGGCACGACGCCAGCGTGCAGCTGCAGGATGGAGCCCACACTGAGCAGGTGCATGATCTGGTGTGAATTGCCCCAGTAGTCGAAGCGGCCTGGTCCCCAGCGCTCTGGCAGTCGGGCCACGTTCACTAGCCCCCCAAGCAGTGCTAGGGCGTCCATGCGCAGGTAACAGGGCAGGGAGCCTGGAGCTCCAGAGCCCAGTCCCACTCCCCGGGCCCCGAACACCAGGAGGCGGGCACCAGCCTGCCAACCAAAAGCTCGAAGACGGGCACTGGTGGAGGGAGCGGTGAGGGCCCTCCAGCCAGCCACACCTGACAGCATGGTGTAGCCCACCAGGGCAGCTGGGCGCAGCCAGGGCCTGCAGGCCAGGGTGCAGTGGATGATAGGCAGGGCCCCTGCACAGAGGAGAGAGGCAGGAGAGGGCACATCAGTTTGGGGACTGCCTGCCCTTTCATGTGAGTGTCCCCTGCTGCCCCCTCCCCAGGTGCCCCCCAGCTTCCATTCTTCTAGCCCCCCACCCCATCCTTTGGCTCACCGAGGGTGTTGACGAGGCAGACCCCACACATATCCAGGGCAAGGAGCCGCGTGTACACAGGGCTGCCCCCTTGATGGCACATGAAGAGATGATAGAGCACAGAGCCTGCAGGTGGTGCCAGGCAGGCCACACAGTGTGTGCCCCCCAGCCAGCCATCCTTGCCCAGCTGACCCCAGGGCATGGTCATTGGCAGCAGCACCAGGAAGCCCAGCAGGGCCAGCCCTGGGGGAGGGAAACAGTTATCCATCACACAGCTTCAGCAGAGAGGACAGGTAATGTCCTCAGGGAGTCCACAGTCTAGAGACAACATGAAAGGAATGAGAGCAAGACAGGTCTTGACAACAGTGATAACTATCTGACCTGGGACAGAGGCAGCCCCTGGGTTTTCGGAACTTTACTTACTCAGCAGGCTCCCAATAGTTCTGGAAGTAGAAGAGATTATGCCCACTGCCAGGTGATACTGAGTAAACTGTCCCAGGTGAGTAGGAGAGAGCCCAGGCACTCTAACTCCCACGCTGCCCTCACCCCTGCAGCCACATTACATCACCTCCCCAGAAAGCAGCGGCCCCCAACCCCCAACCTGCCCTCTATGTGTCAGCAGAGGCCAGAAGGAGGCGTGACTCAAGCTGAGTTCTGGAAAGAACACGTGGGCAATGATACCAGATCCCAGGACAACTTGGCTTGTTCCTCCCAACCCCATGTCCTCTCCATAAGTGACCAGACAAATGAAGGCTTTGAGCCCTTGTCTTTCAAAAGGGGCAGAAAGGAGTTTGTTCCATCTCCCCAGCACCTCTCCTGGGCGCTCAATTCCTCCCAGCCCAGGCGTCCTACCTTTCCCTGCTGGCACTCCAGCATTGCCCTCACAGAGGTCAAAGGTGGGCACTGCAGGCTGGGGCCGCTGACTGCTCACTATCGGCAGGGTCTGGCCAGGCCACAGTCCCCCAGTGGGACAGGTCCCAAAGCTGGGCCCAGCCTGCTCAGGGGCCCTCTCTGCCAGGACAGGCCAAGGACGTACAAGGCTGTGTCAGCACAGCTCCACGGGGCCGCGGAGGAGGGGCCCCGACGCCTGTGGGGCGGGGTGGGTGGGGGGAGGTGTTGCCACCAGGCAGAGCCCCAAAGACTGCTCTGATGGGGTAACAGGGCGGCTACGCGGGGAGGGGCCGGGGCCTGGCTTTTGCTCCTGGATTACTTCTTGCCCAACTCAACACCCAGGTCCCCAAGTCGACACCCAGCACCCAGGTCCGGACGGGCGCAGGCAGGAGTGGGGAAAGGGGCGGGGAGATGCGCAGGGGGCCGGGATTACGAAGGGGCTGTACACCAGGCTGCTTCTCCCCGGGGCTCAGAGGGATTAAGTGGACTCGGCCCCCCACTCTGCTTCCCTTGCCTGCCCGGGGGCCCCGCCGGGGTAGCGGAAGCAGGTAGCGCCGTCCGGGACAGGACAATGGCAGCTTTGTCACCGCGGCTCCTGGCTGTGCCAGGGCCGGGGCAGCCCAGGATCGGGTCACTGGGGCGCTCCTCGGCCTTCCGGCCACCGGCCCGGCGCAGGCAGAGCTACCGCGGGTATGGGACGCGGGCGCAGCTCACCGTGCGTGTAGATGTTGCCCAGCTCGTTGTGCAGGTAGAAGAGGCTGCGCAGGCAGCCTGAGCCGCTACTGGCTGGCCGGTAGCCGGTCAACACTAACTTGTTGAATTGCAGGTGCGGTGGCGAGCTTGGTCCAGTCCAGCAGGCGCGTTCCGGCCAGGAAACGCCATGGCCTGTTCAAGCACGGGCGGCTCGCGCAACTCTGAACCCGGGGCCTCTCCAATGGGGCTGCAGCGGCGCCGAGGCTCATCCCTGCGCCTGCCCACGGTCAAGGTTTCGGTTCGTGGCACGCGCCGGCCCGGGGGTCCCTGCTCGTGCCCCTCCTGCGCTGCGCAAGCGCGGGCCCTGCGCCCCCGCGTCAGGGCGGAGGCTGGGAACGCGCTGGCCTCCCGAGCGCAGTGCGGCCCGCTCCGCCCGTGCAGGCGCCAGCAGGGACAGCTCGCCGGCAGCTGCAGCAGCGACCAGTAGTCCTCTGAAGCCCTGAGGAAGGGTGCGGCCGGACGCGGGACGGGACGCAAGGCTCCGCCCCAACTAACCACCCCCTCCATCCCACCAACGCTTCGCGCGCTGAGCTCCAGACCTAGACGCTGTGAGAGCCAATAGGTACAGCTGGTGGGGGAGGCCCCGCCCCGAGGCTTCCCGGGCCATCACCCTCTTAGCATAATATATGCGGTGCCCGTCTCAATTGCATGGAGTGGCTGTTGGCTTGGGACCCAACGTTCTGGGTCCCGGTGGCTTTGCTGGAGTGTCCCCAGCACCTTGCGTCCTCCCGCAGTGCGCGCTCCGGCTTTCCGAACTACTCCCAGGTCAGCGCACCCTTGGGCGCCCGCCCTCCCCAGCACCGCCCCACACCCAACGCTACCCCCGCAGCCTGGGCTCTGTCCAAGGTGCTGCCACCCCGGGCCGTTCGGACAGGTCAGGTCTAGAGCCGGCACTCCCCAGTCCAGGGATGATCTATCCACAGGCCTGGCTCCCCTGGAGCGCAGCAAGGCGCGCCCAGATGTCCCCTACAGTGTTCCTGACATTCCGGGCGCCATCGGGAGAGGCCCTGCCCTTTGGACAGTCTTCGAGCTCAACAAAACTCACTCTATTATCGCCCACAACGTACACTTTCCGCCCCGCCCAGGACAGGCAGGAAATAGAGGGGAAGAAAGAGGGCAAGTAGCCAGGGAAGAAAGTTCACTCCCTGCCTGGGTTCATACTAAGGTGGGGCCCAGGAAGGCATCTTCTTCCGCTTAATCTGGCTCACAGCCTCACAGCCGGCCTTTCCCCTCGCCGCCCTTCTCCAGGACCCCGCCCACCCATCCTTCCGCAGGCGATTCCTCAGCCCTCTGCATTTCAGCTGGCTCCCAGAAACTGCGTGGAACGCCCTTAACTTGCATGGGCACACCCAACCCTTTGCTTCAGTATCATCAACATAATTTCCCACCACTTAAGAATTTGCAGAGCCCTATACCAAAATAGGTCCTTTATTCAAAGTCTGTGTCTGGTCTTTTGACCACTTTTGTTGACCTCTCACATTTCACTTAGGGCAGCAGTCCAGGACTACCCCCAGAGGGGCTCAAAGACCCTGAAATCAGAGAGCTCCTTATCAAGGCCCATGAGGAGGGGAGCCGATTCCTCTTGCCATTTGGCCTGGACCATCTGGACACCTAGAGTTAGGCCAAGGTCCCAATAATAGCACCAGATGCTTCCTGTCTGACGACTGGCCTCTGAGAGATGAACAGAGGCAGAGCTGCCCTTAAAAAACTGGAAGGCCAAGGCAGAGTGCGGCATGGAGTCTCTGGTGTCCATCACACTGTTGGAGGATCCAATGGACCCCGGGGTTCCTGAGTCAGAGAGCAGAGATGAGCGAACGCAGGGAACTCTGGCTGGAGGCGCTCAGGGGTCGGTAAGTCGAGGCTAGACCCTCAGCCTGGGAGTCCCCAGGGGGGCAGGGCAGTGCCACCCCTCCAGGTCGGCGGTACCACACAGCCCAACTTCTCCCAGAGCCCTGGGAAGGCCTCAAGGGTGGGGGCCCTTTTCCTGGAGCCAGTAGACAGCTCCTAGAGAGGGAGCAGACATCAGCCAAAGACCCAACCAGTCTCACCCCCAGCATCCTGCTTCGCCTGTGATCCCAGGCTCGATTTCCTGTGTAGACCCAAGGTCCCTCAAGAGCCTAGGAGTTTCAGCTCCATTCCTCATCTGGGTCCCAGCTTCCCACCAGACCGCCACTCCCCCTCTACCCCCCGCCACTCCAGTCCCCCACCACGAGCCTGGGCACTGAGGCATCAAGATAAGGTGCCTGACTGCCCAGCTGGGTCACCCTCAGGCCCTGCCCCAGCGTGCGCACCGTCGGCGCAGCAGGCGTAGCAGCGACAGCAGTAGCAACAGCAGCAGCAGCAGCAGCAGCAACACTGAGATGGCCATCACTGTCGAGAAGACCCGGGCTGTGGGCACACAGGTGCGGTGAGGACAGGGCTCCAAAGAGCGCTGCTTCCCAAACTCCCGCCCTCCTCAAGCTCCTGCCTCACCCCCCATTGTGGCCTCCGGAGCCCCAAGCCGGGGGCTGCAGCTCACATTAGTCCCGTCGGGGAGCACTGCAGGGGTCTGGGCCGAGCCCTTGGGGAGCACCGGGTTCTCCGAAGCATCCTGCACGCCTGTGGAGAGGGGTGTGAGGCAGCGTGGCTGTGGGGCAAGCCCCGGGGGGATGGGGCGGGGCCTCACCTCGGTAGGTGAGCGCGAAGCCCTGCGCGTGGCCACGCGCGTCGCTGCGGAAGGTGAGCAGCAGTGCAGCGGCGCGCAGGTGCAGCGTCCCCAGTGGGCGGCGGGCGGGCGCCGTCGAAGGTACGTAGCAACCTGCCCCGAGGCCGCGTCGCGCAGCTCCCAGGCGGGCGCGCTGGTTCGCCAGCTCGAATAGGCGGAAGGTGAGCTCCAGAGCGGCGCCCGGCGGGCCAAGCGCCCAGCTGCAGTTCTGGTCCGTCCCCATTTCATCCGGGAAAGTCCGGGGGAGTAAGATGACGGCCTGCGCCGCGGCCCGGTTCTCTCTGTCAAGGAGCTCACCCGACACTTGTGGGTGGGGGGCAG